ATTATAACGAGTATAATAAAATCTATTTCACTGAATGAATGAAAAATACATTTACGATTTGAGAGAGAGAGAGAGAGAGAGAGAGAGAGAGAGAATATACAAACATGACAACAACTATAATATTACTAAAATATTAATTTGACAAAACAGTTAAGACATTCACTCATTTATTATAAGTGAAGACATTGAGGAAATTGAATGAAATTAAAACTTCAAACCATGCAATCAATGCATTCAATGCACAGGTATTTAAAGGCCAACTGAGAGGCAGAGGAATGGGAAGACCAATACGTATCTCATATAAACGCCTAGAGCTATATTTAAAGCATAAAAAACATACACTTAATTGAATCAAACCATATATGATATACACATAACATTGTTTGTTATATTATAAAACAAATTAAACACTTGTTTGCTATTCATTGCATTGTTTGTCAGGAATTGCAGCAAAAATACGATCCCTTCTCACGGAATGTAACATAAAATGAGTTCATTATATACTGAAAGCTCTTTCCGATGACTATTGTTCTCGATATTGAAGAGTTTGTGTCTTCACTTTAAACTGCATTAATAGTTAATTTTAATTTATATTTTCTGTTTTATCAATACATAGCGTATGTCTGTATGTATTGAACAAAACACTATCCAATGCTTAAGTTTCTAAAACTTGTGAAAATGTCAACAGTTTTGGTAATGTTTTGAAAATAATCTTTTATTTCTTAACACTTTATTTAATATTTTATAGAATTGTTGAAGATTTTCTTTTTCCACTCAGATGTTTCGTGATTTTTATTTTTCAATTTTACAAATAAAGTAATTCCCGTGTCGTTTAAATACTTGTTTTCCTTAATTAAGAGAATCTCTCTCTCTCTCTCTCTCTCTCTCTCTCTTTCTCAAATCGTAAATGTATTTTTCATTCATTCAGTGAAATAGATTTTATTATACTCGTTATAATCACGACTTTTGTTGCAAAGTTTTGAAGTTATCGCATAAGACTCTTATGAATTGCGAACTTCATTACATATTTGACAATTAAATAACAAAAACTATATTGGAGTCAATAAACAATCATTTTTATAAAATTCTTATTAATTGTCCGCAATTGAAATCAATAGCCAGAAGACGACGGAGTGATGTCCAGTGAGACGGCAGCAGAAATGGTCAACACTAAGCCCGTCAGCCCTCAAATGGATATGAATATGTACGCCACCAGAAAGACAATTGCCCAGGGTTGGTTTCGTTTTATTATAAACATTTACAATTAGTTTACTTTAAATTGAAATGTATTAACAATAATAATTGCAGGTATAATGGACTTGGGATTAATGTGTGCCAATGCATCTCAACTTAAATGTAAGTAATTTTATTTTATCAATTTTATAAATCAAATTATTTGTATATATAAATAATTTAATTGTTATTTCATTTAGTTTATAGTTTCTTATTGTGTATGAATTAATATGAGTGATAAGTGTAAAAGCAAACCACCCTTTCATTGTTAACTCTATTGATTGCTTTAAATACTACTCAAAGTACTCTATTTTGCCATAAAGTTATAGACAATATTGATTGGATTGTAATTAGCCATCACTTTAGCTATATTTATAAAGATTATATTTTTTATGTAATTAAGAAATGAATGGATTAGTATCCGAAGATATTACAGTTGTGCTGAAAGTATGATATATTTATTAGTGTTTTGTCCATTAGTTTGAGAGATAACCTAAAGTCGTGAAAAGAGTCGATTGTCTGTGCTTTTGATTGTCAGACAAATGGGTGATTGCCATCGGGTGTATGGCTTATGACAGACAAACATAATATAAATGATTACTTTCACCGACATTGACATCGACTTGTGTCACGACTAATAAGTATTAATCGTATTATTTGTTCACAAAAACAGACGTATTATTAAACGCGAATCAACACAAGTATTTTGAAGTGACCATCGCTTTAATCACATTATCTATAATACTTCAAGTGAGTATCGCTTTATACAGACACTCTTATGAGCCCTCTCTTAGCATAACTACGGGTGCCGTCAATATTACCATTTATTGTCATCCATTCCACTCTCATTGTCGTCAATACTCTCGTCATTCTATCAATGAATCCATTTTCCTGAAAACATGTTAGCGTTAACTGTAAGGCATACTAGAGATACACGTAATTGCAACACAATTGCAAATATACAGATCATGTAACTTATGACTAAATATAGTGATAGGATTTGTCATTTGGGGCCATCATAACTGATCTGCCATTATTGACATCAATTTTATCCAATACTCTTGGATTTAATTGATTTAATAAAATGTGCAAATATATAGATATTATCTTGTTTTATAATTTTAAATACAAATTATTTCTAGTGTACAACTTCTGTATTAATTTATTTAAAGAATTTATATAATGGCTCTTCTCTTCACATTATATTTGATATGTAACCAAAAAAATAAAACATTAATTTTGTTAATGCAATCATATTTATTATAACAGATTATTGTGGGAATTGTATTCATACTATTGGGTCGACTGAACATCAATTTCTTTGTCGATCGAAAAAAGGCCGATCTCTTGAACAATGGGTCCGTAATTCTCATATTCTTGATTACTGTCGTCAATGTCTTGATCACAGCTTTCGGGCCCAGCGATAGCAGCGGCTCAGCAGCACATCATCAGCCCTCGGGATGGACTAATTTCTATCCTGGTAAAATTCCAGATGACAGCAGTAACTAAATATATTTGTTATAAATAAATGCATTTGGCAAACAATAATTGTTAGTAGACATTAATTATTAGTAGATTCCATCACTTTTTTGTTTTCTATGTATTTCTGTGCCATACAATCAGACTTAGAAATTATAACTTAAACTTAAACTTTTAATGTAATTTCAAACTAATTTGATTTACATATTT